GGACCCGCGGCGAAGTTGGGCGGAACCTCGAGACCCCGGCCCGCGCACCTGCCGTCAGGTGCCCTGCCGCGAGCGCGCCGCGCGGGTCGGGGTCTCTTCTTTCTCAGGCCCGGGAGCGCGCCCGCGAGTCCCGGGCTGCCCCGAGCCCCAGCGGGAGGCGGTGGGTTCCCTGGGGGTAAGCGCCGGGGGAGCCCGGGGCGTGCCGGCGGGCCCGGCGTCCCCTGTCGACCCCCCCCCGCACCTGCTTTGCCTTTAACCCCGGGAGATCCGCTGCGAGGCGGGAAGGCGGGGGCGAAAATAAACGGCCACGTGCAGGGGAGCGCGTAGTCGCGCAGGGCCGACCCGGCCGGTGCTACCTTGCCCGGCGGTGGCTTCCCACCCGCGTTCGGGGGGAGGGGGCGGGAGGGCCTGGAGCAGGGGGCTCATGACCGATGTCACGTTCGGAGCAGCTGACCTGCCAGGGGATTCCCGGAGGGAGGCCGTGGTGTGGAAGCTTTGGGTGGGGAGGGGGACACTTCCCCTAAACCCCACGGCCTGCGGTCTCATCTTTCCCATCTGCGAGTAGGGGGTCTCCATCTCTTCCAAGTCCAACTGTGATCCTGCTGAGTTGGGGAGACACTGTGTCAGTCCGCCGGCTTCCACACGAGTCCCCGGGAGCCTCGGAGGGGTACCGGGCATGCTCCGCTCTCCACCTAGCTCTAAGGTGCAGCAGATCGCTTTGCCTTCTGTCTCTCACGGTGTTCTGGCTCGCCACGTGTTGTGAGAACACAGTCGTGGAGCAGTTGGTGTTCGGGCTTGCTGGAAGTTCCCTGTTCTCTCCTGCGTTAATGATTATGCTCTTGTTTACCTTTCACACTGCTCTCGTGGGCCGGGCAGAAGTGCTCACCCTCTGAATAAATTGTTAGTGGGGAAGATCCCCACACTCAACTACCTTCCTTTGCCAGGCGCCTGGCCGCAGGAAGCTCCCGGGGCTGGTGCACGCTCGCCCCGCACGGCCGATAGAATCAGTGGGTTCTTGAGCCAGTATGGCTTGGCCGCCCGGCCGCCCTCCCCTTTCCCCGTTATTGGCATTGGCGCGGTTTTGCTGTTCCAGCCCTCACGGCACAGGTATCTTGACCGCGTGCAGCTGTGTGCTAGGCGAGCTGGGCCATCTCCAAGCACCCTGCCTTCTGGGGTGGGGCTTTGCAGCGAGTGTCGGTCTGAGCCGGTGGGAGGGGTCTGAGAGGTTGAAGGTGGGCTGTGCAGGTGGGTGAGGAGCGCCTGCGGCCTCTGTTGTCTTGTGGGTAGCTGACAGCTTTTGGAGAACTTCTCTCCCTGGGCAGCCCAGCAGGCATGTTTGAGTTGAGCTCCTTCAAGGGGGGTCTGCTTTTAGAACTTAACAGTGGTCCTCTCGTGATTCCAAAATAGTTTCCGAACTCAAAAACACAAAGCAAGGCTTCTCTCTGGAGCACATTTGCCTTCTGTGCTTGAACGTAGCTGGACTTTGAGGGATGCGTTCCAAGTTCAGCCCCACTCACTCAAGGTGGTTGCTAAAAATGGGAGTTGAATCGGGGCTACTTGGGGAAATCGTTTCTGGGGCTTGCTGCGTTCCAGCCCTGTCTCCAGGGCCCAGCTGCCGCCGAGTGAGGTCGCTTTCCTGACCCAGACCCACCGTTCTCTGTCCGTGTGTCCGCAGCCCCACACGCTTTCACTCTTGGGGCTTCGGTAGCTGAAGAGTCTGTTTACCATCTCAGGCAGCGGAGAAGAAATCCTGCCTGTGTCCTGGCTCTTCCTGAGTCTAAAGGTTTCTGGAGTGGACTTTCTGGCTTTAGGGTGCAGTCCACACGGGAAATGGAACCCGGGCAGCTGTGAGCGTTCTCTGTGTGGCTACTCCTCAGAGCAGTAAACAGTGACTCACCCTCCCCTCTGCTCCCCGCCTCCCTGCTCCCTGGAAGATGCACTGCTCCCGTGTTTACTTTTGCTTTTTGTAAGTCACAGACTGGTCATGTTTCCTCTTTCTTACAGTTTCAGGAAATTGAAAGTGTTCTCTTAAAATCATAGAACTTTAGAACAGGTAGAAATAAATGTAGGGATTATGCAGTACACATACACCCCCCGCGGCCCCCCCCCCACTTTACATGAGGACACCAAGCCCAATACCCCTCACCTGGCCTGTGGCGTCAGAGTCCGATATCCGGGGTGTGGGGGACACCCTGCCTGCTTTTCTGCGCTGCATGTGGGCTGCACGGGACGGGGAGGGCCAGACAGGTCCCGAGCTGAGGCGCCCCCGACCCCCTCCCTTCAGGGCAGTGCTGACATGTGCGCTTAGGCGGCTTGCCTCTCACTTGCTGGGAGTTGAGGGGAGCAGGTGTGGTTAAGAACGTCCCCGCCCTCCAGCAAGGGAAGCAAACCTCAGACAGAAAGACCAGGACCAAGTCTTGGGCTCAGCCCTTGATGTGTACTTGTGAGGGGGTGCCCGCCCACCCCAGGGAAGGCAGGAGGCGGCTTTCTGGTGAAGCAAGGGTTGGGGGGAGAGGGTGGGAGTCCAGCACTGATTGCGGAGGCTCTAGAAGCCAGAGGTGAAGGCCTGGATGCGACAGGTGGCCAGGGGCATGAGGGCTCAGGAGGGCCTTCAGGCAGGGGGTTCTTCTACTCACCTTGGGGCCTACATTTGAGGGGCCAAGGCCCAGACAAAAGCAGCCCAGGCCTGAGCCAGGTAGTGCTGGAGGGCTGGAGCTTCAGCAGAGAGACCAGCTGAGGCTGACAGGACAGGCTCAGCAGGTGGACGTGGAAGGAGAGGTGAGGTGTTGGGGGTGATTTCCGCATGAATGGCATGATGGGTCATCACCTGAGCTGGAGACGCAGGAGGAGGGCAGGTGTGGGGACAGGGCACATCTCTGGGGCCTGTCAGACACGCGGGCTGTGTAACCTCAGTGGGATGTGGGGCTTGGGGCTGGTCGAACCCCTGGGCAGCTGTGGCACGAACAGAGCCCCAGAGGGGAGCCTGGAGACAGGAGGACCACCCAGAGGGGTACCGGGGGAGTGAGGGGCCAGGGCGTGGCCAGGGAGGTGAGGCGTTCAGCCTGCTGTCAGCCTAGCAGCCGCCTGAGTCACCTCTGGACAGAGCCAGGATGACACAGCTTCCTCGGACTGCAAACGCAAGGTGACCAGACGTCCTCCAAGCCAGGCAGACAGTCATGTCTTGCCGGAGGGCGGCCAGCCAGGGCCAGCCTGCAGGCTGGGTGTGGGCTAGGCTGATGGGGTGCACCCCCACGTGGAGGGGAGTTGGGCGGGAGGTACGAGCCCTCCCGGTGCCAGGCCTGTCTTCAGTTGGGTGAGGCGTCAGCTTGGGGGGCAAGCTGGCCATGTCACCCTGTGCTCATGGGACAGTTGCCTTCTGTGTCGGCCCCACTGTGCTGCCAGCTGGGAGGGGCGCTCAGCTTTGGGTCCTCTGTGAGAAGGCCCCCAGCCCCCCAGGACAGAGGCTTCTGGCTTTGGGGTTTGCACCCATCAGGGTGAGTCAGATGCTGTTCTGCTGTGTGAAGTGGAGATCTGCTTCAGGACAGAACCCTTTTCCTCCCTTCCTGTTTTCCTCCTGCCCTCTTCCCTCTCCCTGGATCTGACCCCCTCGGAGACCTGGGAGGGCTGAAGGGGGCAGGCACGGGGAGTGGCAGCCGCCATCACTCCACACTGAACAGGAACAAGAGTTTTTTTGAGCGCCCACCCTGCTGGGCACCAGATTCGGCTTCCTGTGCACGTGAAGCTCATGGTGTAGGCTAGTCTAACTGAGGTAAGGGTTAGAGCCCCGTCAGACTCCAAAAACCCCTTTTCTGACATCATCTAGACCTAGGGCTTTTTGAGTGGGGCCATTGCGCCCATCAGCCACCTGGCTTTACTGGTGGAACAAATGTTCCCCCCACCCCCCAAGGCCCTGAACCTGAGTCTAGCCCAGTGAGGGCCTGAGCGCACTCCGGATGGCCTGGGTCGTGAGTTGCCCCAGATGAGCCGAGTCAGAGGGTGGGCAAGCAGCAGGTGTTTGCTGGGGGATGGAGGGGCTGAGACCCTGGCCTCCAGCTCACCTGCCCCTGGAAGGGCTGTCCTGCACTGTTGAACCTGGACGACTTGCCCGTTCTTTGTGGGTCCCGGAAGGGAGGGCCACCCCCGGCTCCCTAACTTGTTCCCAACTATGCCATCCCCAGAGGTGACTCCCATCTAGGCTGCTGGTCCATTGTTTTTCTTTTAGGGCAGTCTTTCCCTTGACTTTGTTCAGATGCACACCAGGATGAAGTTTCTGGCTTTGGGTTGAAAACCACCCTCTTCAGGTAGGAAAGCAGTCACCTGAAAGGTGTTCCAAGGTCTAAGTGCTGACCGAGCAGCCTTTCTTGACCAGCAGCGTCTCGAGGGCTGCGTGAGCTGAGCGTCTGGCTCTTGTTCACTCGGTGGGTGGGCATGTGCGCCTCGGAGGTTCACACCCGCCTTCGGGGGTCCCCGCCTGGCTCTGGCTGCCAATTTACTGGAATTCCGAACAGCCCATGCAGAGAGCGTGCACGTGTGGCTGAGGTTCTGTTAGTTGGTGGTGAGGGGACTCGATGCCCCGAGCGTCCTCCCGTGCAGCTGCTGGAGAGCCGTGTGCGGGTGCTGAGTGGGGGCCGGTGTGGTGGAAGGCGAGGCCGCCTCGCCGCTCCTGCCCGGCCTGTCGGGGCCTCAGTCTCTAATCCTGGCTGCGGTCCGGCCCGGGACCAGAAAGCAGTTCCTCCTGCGTGCGCTCTGGTGGCCGTGAGGTTGCCTGAGGTTCAGGGGTTTATAAATACACGTTTTAGGGCAGTTGTTTTAAACTCAGTTGTCCACACTCGCACAGGTACGAAACTTTTCTCTGAACCTGTTTTCCAAAAGCAAACTGTCGGGTTTTTTGCCTTTCATGTTTGAAGTGATCTTAGGTCACTGCTGCATGTATTTTGCGTAGCTTGGCATAGGGGAGTAATGGTGCCGTTTCTGTCCATAAACTGAGTTCAGGAAAGACGGGCAGTGCCCAGCCATCGCCGTGCTCCTGGAGCTGGCTCCCTGGACCAGCGGCTGAGTCTGCGTAGTGCCCCTCGGGGCAGCCCGCTCTCCAGCAGCTGGTGGAGACTTCCAGGGGTGCCTCGGCGGTGGGGGGTGGGGGAGGCAGGAGCTGAAACCTGGTCCGCCCGAGGCAGTGGGGGTTGTGTCTGTGAGCAGGGGTCCATGGGACAGTGTCTGCCCTTGCCTGGGACTTGCCCACCCATGTCTGGGTCTCTGGTTTCTCAGGGGGGCCCTGGTGCGGGTCCCAGCCCCCTGGGGGTTGAGTGGAGCCCCCAGTCAGGGTCTCTCCTGGCTCGGCCCAACCGAGGCTTTTGCGAGCTGGACAGAACTCTGGGACCCCTGGTTCCGATCCCCTCATTTTCAGAGGAGGAGAGTAAGACCCACAGAAGTGCTTTACTGGCTCGTTCCCCAACTTTGTCTCAAGGCGATGATCACCTCCACATGTACTCCTGTTCGCTCTTAGGCCTCACGTCGCTCTTGTTGAACAGGAGGTCCGAGAAGGGCAGGGAGTCCCCAGAGGTCAGACCCCAGCGTGGCACCCTCCCACAAAGAGAGGCGTCCCTCCTCTCTTGGACCCCAGGTGGGCCCCAGGGCCGCTCTTCTCCCATCCCTGCCGAGGCTCTCATCTGTGTCCTGTGCCCAGAAGGCAGATGGGGTGCAGAGCTGGTGGATATGGGGCTTTGCCCAGGTGACCTTGACCTTTCAGATGCAGCCAACGGACCCTCATGGGGCCTGTCTGGAGGGGAGGGAGCCGAGCGCTTGCATCCTGGTTGCCCATCCTGGTTACCTGGACATCCACCACTCACTGTCATGGAGGGCCGGTCCCAGGGGAAGTGTACCTGCCTGCCCTGAGCGCAGCCCTGTGGCCCTGGGTGCTGGCTGAGCTGGCCCGCCACCGTGGGGGAGGCACAGAAAGCCCTGCTGGTCGGGGTCTGAGCGGAGCTCCCTCCTTTGCTGGGGCCTCCCTTTTCTCATCAGGCGGGCTGGGCGGTCCGTGCAGGGTGGGAGGGCCTTAGGTCTGTGGGAATGTGAGCTCCTTGCTCTGTAAACAGCTGTGACTCACCGCACAACTATGCCCTGGCGGCTCCAGGCCCTTGTGCGCTGACGTGTGCTGGAATGACACCCGGCGGTGGAAAAGTTTCTCAGGGCTCTCCCAGCTGCCTGGCTCCTGCTGGCCCTCCAGGTGCTTTCTCTAGCACGGTGTGACACCCGCACCCGGAGGGAGGGGCGCTAATTGTGCGTCCCCTGCCCCCCACAGATGCCGGGGGTCGGCCTGCTGTCAGGAAGCGGCTCCTGGTCCCTGCCGTGACCACCCCATGCTGCTGCGTCGTCTGTGTGTCTGTCTCGGGCACACGCGTGGGGGTGTGGAGGAGCCCGGAGCCCCCCGGGGGTGTGCCCGGCCCTGGCCCTGCTGTTGTCCTGCTCGCCGTCATCCAGCATCGGCGCCTGGGAGTGTTGCCAGGGGCAACTGGGGGTCCAGCGACCTGGGTGCTGAGACCCTCTGGTGGCAGAAGGCAGGCGAGCCGTGGGGACGGGTTAGGGTCCCGGGGCACCCGAGTCCCGCTCACCCTCGAGATGGAGGCTCGGCTGAGGCTCCCTCTCTGGGGCCCGCATCCCCCCGTCGTGCATTTCTCCGGTGTTCTCTCTGCTCCGTTCACCGTGCCTGGCGTTTGGAACGTAGACCCTGGTCCCTAACCCAGTGACAGAGCGTGGCGGCAAGTCTAGAGCCGCGGGGTCACACGGGTTTGTTTACTGTCCCGCAGCCTGTGTGTCTGCACCAGCCGCCCGAAGCCATTGTTGCTGTGGGCTTCTCCGTTGCCATGGCGACCACCAGGGGCTGGCTACTTCCCAAGGTCGCCATGGCAACTATCAGAGGGGAATCATGCTTGGGATGCTTTGGCTGGCTTTTTCATGAATGATTAGAATGTGTGACACAATGCAGACGCGAAAACTCGAAGGGCGGGCAGCGGCGGGGCCGGCGGGCGCCGGGGACAACTCCCGCCAGACGGCCGCCCCATGAGCTCGTGCAGCCGCGGCTCCCCACCTCCCAGATCCTGCCCTGGCCGCGCAGGGAGACCCCACCCACCCCGAGGGCCTCAGATCATGGCTCTGGGGCAGCCCAGGTGGGGGTGGTGACGTCACAGCCGCAGTGCCCTTTGCAGAGGTAGGTCTGCTGGGGAGGGCGGGGCTGGGCCAGGGCGGGTGCGGGCTCCACCCGGGGGGCGTGCTCCCCCAGGGGCCCTTCCTCTCTGGAGCCAGGCTAGGTCAGGGGTACCAGGGGCTCTTGCCCGGGCAGGGTGCTGTCCTGGGGGCCAGCGGTGCCCTTCAGGTGCTGGGTGCGGCTGATCTCGGGAGGGGGCTTTGCTGCTGCGTGCTTTGGCCCTTGAACGTGGCAGTCTGGGCCTCACGGGTGCAAGCTTCTCAGCTCGGAGGGAGAGTGAGAACAGGAAGCAACAGCTGCTCATGCCTGGGGGGGCTCCCCCAGGCGCTGGAGGCACAGGCCTGGCGGGTGGGGCGGCATGGGACCGCTGTGTGGCTGCCAGGCACTGGGCCAAGGTGGGTCCGGGTTGCTCCGTGGTCTGATGCTGGAGTGGGGGGTGTGGCCAGCATGCCCACCCTGCGGGGAGCCCCTCAGGGCTGGCTGGCTCCCATCTTGCTTTTGGGGTGACCGGGAACAAGGAGCTGAACCTCCTTGGAGCCTCTCTGCAGTGGGCATGTCCCCACTTTAGGTCACTTGTGACGGCAGCAGGCCCTGTCCCCAGCCTGGCCAGAACCTAACCTCGTTCATTTCTGTGTTCTTGTGTGATTTTCTAGTTGCAATTTCCAAGCCCTTCTGTTCGGGTGACTGTGCCCAGGTTATGACGACTAATCCCAAACCAAACAAGGCGTTAAAGGTAAGCAGGGTTGGGGGTGAGCAGATCCTGTTTCTGTCCCGGGCTCAGGCCTGGGAAAGGTCCCTTCCAGCCCCAGCAGCGCCTCTTTCCCAGGGTTGCCCTGAGTGTGAGGAAGGAAGCCCTGTCCTCTGGAAGAGAGCAGGGGGGCTGTTGGCTAGAGGACGTGTCACAGAGAGGTGGTGACAGAATTGGGGGTCGTGGCCTTGGGAGACACCAGCTCTGACATCTGGGGGGATCCCTCCTTGGGAGAGAGTGGTAGGGGTGGATCCCCGTCGGCTAGGATGTGCTCATTACCCTCGCTCCCAGGGGTGAGCAGTGTATCCTCCATCCCGTGGAACCTGGCTCCCAGGGCCTGGCCGTGAGCAGTGTGTGCTGCCTCCGCGGGCCTTCCCAGCTTCTGAGGCCGGCAGCGTGTGCTTGGGTTGGCTGTGTCATCTTGGGAGCAGAGTTGGCTGTGCAGGAGAGGGAACTGTCCATGCATTTCTGGGCCGAGCACGCCCAAGCCGCATCTGAGGTCCCACTAGGTCCGAGGGATGCAGAAGGATGGGCTGCCGTGCCGTCCCGTCCCTCACCTGCCTGTGTCCGTCCTGCCCCGGGCCCTGGAGAGGCACAGAGGGTAGCACACACGTGGGCCCTGGCCTTGCAGAGTGTGGGTGGCCAGTGGGATCCAGGTGATGGCCGGGTGTAGCCAGCAGCCCCCATCCGAGAACCATCTGCATGATGCTGTGTGCGTGGCGTGCAAACCTGCACCTTGCAAGGACCGTCCCCGTTCCGTGATGGAGGAGCGAAGGCCCGCTTGCATAGTGGAGGGGGGTGCTGTCCGGAACAGGCTTGAGCCGTCCTCTGGGGTCCCTCCGTGGCCAGTCCTTCCCGCCGCGCCCCGCGTCTCCATGCTGACCGCTGTGCCGTGGCCCCCGCAGGTCAAGAAGGAGGCGGGCGAGAACGCCCCGGTGCTCAGCGATGACGAGCTGGTGTCCATGTCGGTGCGGGAGCTGAACCAGCACCTGCGGGGCCTCACCAAGGAGGAGGTGGTCCGCCTGAAGCAGCGGCGGCGCACGCTCAAGAACCGCGGCTACGCGGCCAGCTGCCGCATCAAGCGGGTGACGCAGAAGGAGGAGCTGGAGCGGCAGCGCGTGGAGCTGCAGCAGGAGGTGGAGAAGCTCGCCTCCGAGAACGCGAGCATGAGGCTGGAGCTCGACGCGCTGCGCTCCAAGTACGAGGCCCTGCAGACCTTCGCCCGCACCGTGGCCCGCGGGCCCGTCACCCCCACCAAGGTGGCCACCACCAGCGTCATCACCATCGTCAAGTCCGCCGACATCTCCTCCACCTCTGTGCCCTTTTCGGCCGCGTCCTAGTGCCTGGCCCAGGGTGGGGCCTGGGGGGCTGCGGCCGGGCAGGTGGTGGGCTCCTCCCTCGTGCCCATCAGACGAGCCTACGGGGAGCAGACCCCTCATCACCTGAGTCAAGCACAGACTCGCGGCGGGGACGGGGCTGCCGGCTGAAGATGGGGTCTTATGAGACCGTGTGCTGCACGCCTTCCCACACGCACGCACACACAAACACGCACACGTATGCACCTGGCCTTCCTCTGGGCCCCACCGGCTCTCTCCGGACCGTCCTTTTCTAGGGGTGTGTGTCTCGCGCCGGGGGCGTCGGGATGTACAGAGGGAAGGTCCCTGGGAGGTTCCTGGCCCTGTGGCCCAGACGGCGGGGGCTCTGTCTTCCACCCATCCCGAGAGTGGCCCGCTGTGGTCCACCAGCCGGTGCAGGGACCCCCTCGCTGCCCTGAGCTCTGGTGCCGCAGGACGAACCATGTGCTCCTGGTGATGAAAAGCACCATGACCCTGCTTTTAGCCTTACGGGAGACCTGCACCCCGCGAGGCGGAGGGAGGGCCGCCCGGGGGGCTGTGTGCACGTGCACGCGTGCCCCGCCATGTGCCAGCCATCGCACCAGCCTACCAGCAGCACCAGGGCCTCGGGGGAGAGGCTCGGAAGGGCCGGTCACTGGGGGGCCTCCGGGGTCCGTGCGGCAGACGGTTGCATGGGGGTTGGGAGCTTTGCCTCCGTCGGACCTGCAGAGGAGCGGTAGCTGCCGGGTGGGGAGGGGGGCAGCCAGCCGGGGAAGGTGGAGCCCTGCGCAGGGAGGGTGGCAGGGCCTGGGGGTGGGCGCACGGAGGTTCTGTGCGGAATGGGGGTGAGGTTGGCAGGGGCCTCGGGAGTGGGCTCTGGTTCTGCTGGAGGGGACGGGTGGGGTCTGAGGGTGAGGAGGTCGTGGTGACGAGGGAGGTGACATGGCAGGGGTCCGGGACCCCCCTCCTGGGGGCACCTGGGCGGTCTCTTGGTGCAGACGACAAGGGGACGCAGCTACCTTGGTGCTTAATCCTCGCCTGGAACCTTTACTAGCTCTTTCTGGCACCTGGAGCCCCTGATGACCTTGGTGACTCTTGCTGGGGCTTCCCTCCCGTGAGCCTCTATCGATCGGGGCTCCCAGCTCCCGTGTGCCGAGCTTGGACTGCCCCTTCCTGGCCCTGCTGGAGAGAGGCTGGGGCTGCAGGGTCTGGGGGTGGGCGTTGAGCTCAAGCTCCCGGCCTCCTCTTGGCCCTGCCACCCACCACCGAGGGAGACCCCCACCCCCAGCAAGCCATGGGCCACCCGCACAGGAAGAGGAGGATTGGGCAGGGCAGATGGCCCCAAGGGCTGCGTCCTCCTCCTGCGTCTGCTGTCAGGAGCGGCTGGGAAAGGTCTGGGGCCCCCGCAGCATTGCTGTGTGGCCTTCGCCTTGGCCTTGTCCTGGGGGAAGGTGAAAGGTCAGGGGTGTGCTGGATCCTTACGGAGAAGAAGGCCCAGTGTGTTTAAAAAAAAAAAAAAAAAAAGAGTTGATACCATAGCCATGGTAGGTAATCCACATTGGATATCAATAAGGACCATGGGGAAATATTTAAAAGAAAGAAAGTATATATATATATAAAATTATATACACATTTTATCGTACAGATTTTTCGTAACTTTTCCTGTTTTTACTGTAAATCCCTAATAGAGCAGAGCTGCAGTTGGAGTAGGGTGGGGGTGGGAGCTGGTCGCCCCTGCCCCCAGCTCTGGGGAGGGAGGCCCGGGCTGCCCGCCCGACGCTTCCCTCTGCGTTCCCACCAGCCCTCGGGAGTGCCGAGGCCCCACCTGGGGGGACCCGGGGCCAGGGAAGGAAGACCAGAGCCTTCCCCGAGTGCTTTTCCTTTCAGCTCACCGAGATTCCATTGTCACAGGTTTAATATATGGATTTTTTTTATTTAAGAGAAAAGGCAAGGACTTGTGTCCCTGGGGTTTGCTCCCCCTGCCTCCGGGGCTTCAGACGCGGGTCCTTCCTGGGGACGGGGCCTCCCGCTTCCTCGCCTCCGTCGCTCGGCTGCTCCATTTCCATATTTATTTTTGTGCTGCTTTTATCATGGTATAAATTATTGAGAAGAGATCCCACGTCGTGGTCCTCGTGCGTAGGACTCGTGCCCCGCACCCACCCTGTCCCCTCACGGCCACCACCTAATTTATTGCTGTACATCTCTGCTGTGATGCTTTTGTACCTTTGCAATAAAGAGTTTTCTGGTTTCAGACCCGCCTGGTTTTGTGATTGGGGCTGGGGGTCAAGTCCCCAAGTGCAGGGCACCATTGGACGGCCGCCGCCCCCACGTCCCAGCCCCCCAACACGGTTGTCCTCGCCTGCAGTGGGTCTCCTAGGCTGGGAGGTCCATCGGGACAGCCACGGGCTGGGGAGGGGGTCGGGCGGGTGGAGGTGGCCGGGTTGGCTTTCTGAGTGGTGGGCCCAATTCCCCAGTGTCCCATCCGCCCTGACCGGGAGCCCCCAACCTTCAGACACAGCCTCTTCCTCTCCAGCTCGGACGGCTCCCCCCCACCCCCTGGGTGGTGTGTGCCCCGGTCTCAGGCCAGGTCCTGCAGCAGGTGGGGAGAGGGACGCTCGGCCTGGGGTGGAGAGCAAGGTGCCTAAAGGAAGCGGGCTCTCCCAGAAGCCAGGGCCAAGGGCCTGTGTGCTCCTCACGGGCCTTCCCCACCCCAGTCCCTCCCAGGGACAGACGTGTCAGCACTTGGCCTCAGCCTCTGAAGGAGGTCCAGCTTGCAGGTGAGGTCTCGGGGTTTCCAAGACCTGCCAGCCTTCCTGCCTCACCTCTGCCTGAGCTGACGGGACGGCTCCTGCCCTCGCTGTCACTGAGGGGGGGCGTCACCACCAGCCACTCGGGGTTCGCCTCTGGGGGGCCTGTTCCCTCCCCTTCCAATCCACCAGCTCCCTTCTGTGAAATTGGCGGGGAGCAGAGTGTGCCAGCACCGTGGGGTCACCGTGGCCCCCGGCTAAGCCAGACCTCCCCGAAGCCAGGCCCGCTCCCCCCGCGGGTGTGAGCTGGGAAGTCATTGAGGGTTACCCCTGTGCCCCCGCTGGGCCCTCCAGCTCTCTCGGCGCTGCCTGCTTTGGATTGCTGGGGCCATTTCCCAGATGAGAGCGCCAAGGCCACTAGAGAAGCTGGCCACTCCTGGCCCCGTGCGGTGGGGCCCGGAATTGGGAGCCCACAGTGTCATCACAGATGGCAAGATGTGCCTCCCTCCCCCCACCTCGAGAGCACCCACGCTCCCCCCAGGAGGGCGAGGCCGGCAAGGGGGGCGGCAGCTGTGACCTCCCTGCGGGCGGCAGGGGTGTGGTGTCAGAAGGAGAAGCTGGGCCTTGTCCATGGCAGAGATGTCTGTGGGGGCTGGACGAGTGCGAGAGTTGGCTTTTGTGGGCCGGTCCCCCTCTTGCTGGCTCTGTGACCTCAGGCAAGTGGCTCACCCTCTCTGGGCCTTGGGCCCCTTTCCTGGGGCTGTCGTGAGGATTCAGTGTGCACCAGGGTCCTGGCCCCGGCCTCACACACACTGGACACAGCACACCGGCTGACAAGGCCCTCCCCGGGCAGGGGCCTGCAGGCTAGCACCGCCCTGCTGCTCACAGTGGGGCTGGCACCGGGCCCTCCTGCATCCTCCAGACAACTTCCCACCGTGGTCGCTCCCAAACCTGCTGACTGAGACCTGCGGGGCCAGAGCCGGACCCACCGTGGTCTGCCGGCTGCGGAGGACGTGATAAGGCGGGCGGGGGACTCTCCAGCTGGGCCGCAGGGAGGCGGCATGCCTTATCTCACTGGGCAGCCGGCCGGCCCTCCAAGAAGCTGCGGCCTTGAGTCCTGGGTCTCCAGGCCTAGGGAGCAAGGAGGCCACGGGGTGACCCCGCTCTGGCCAGGACACTGCTGGTCGGTTCCTGCCCTGCCGAGTCTCTCCGGACCCTCGGCAGAGGGGCGTGAGTGGCCAGGAGGGAGGGAGGCCATCACTGGGTGGTGCCCACCAGGCTTTCCTGCCCGCTGCTCTGGCCTGGCCAGCCAGCCCTGGCTCCCCACACCCTCGGGCTCTCGGGCACACAGGCCCTGCCCTCAGGCCCTCCAGGAGGCCTCCCCACTCTGCTGGCTGCTTCTGGCCCCTCTGGCGGGCTCCTCCCAACTTTTGGAGGGCAGGGCATGTGTCTCCCTGGGCACCGGCCTGGCACATAGGAGAGAGAAAGACGGGGGAAGGCAGGCTCCAGTTGCGAGCCCCGTGTGCGCCCCGCGCTCTCTCTGGGCCTGCGTCCATCTGTGGCCTTCATGGACCCACTACAGGCGGGGCCGGCCAGAGGCCCATCTTATGGAGGAAGCTGAGCTCCTAAGGGAAGGGGAGTGCCTTGGGTCTCCTGCGGGGGCACAGGGAGCGCCCTGGGTCTCCTGCGGGGGCACGGGGAGCACCCTGGGTCTCCCGCGGGCATGGGGAGCGCTCTGGGTCACACGTGGACACAGGCCAGGGCACTCGGTCTTCCTGTGAGCTCTGTGCCCCGCTCTGCTCTGAGCAATGATCCGGACCCTTCCCCCAATGGCAGACTTAGCACAGTGGGGCTCGTCTGACCGCCCCACTACAGTCTGCTCACCCGGGCACTGACCTGTGGGAACAAAGACCACTGGAGTCACTAGAAAACCCAGGTGTTTATGTATAAATAAGTGTGATTCGTCCGTAAGCCCCATGTCCTCTGCGGGCTGCTCAAGGTGAAGGTTCTGTGCAGGTGGCCCCGGGCACCTCCCGGACCCTTGTCAGGCACATTGGGGCGGGGGCTTTTCAGGAATCTCCACGGCTGGAGGGGTGCGCAGGGGCTTGGCAAGGCCCCACCATGACCGCCTGTCCGCGCCTGCGCAGCTCCCGTGTTCTCAGGGCGGGCTGTCTCGCTCTCCTGAGGCCGTCCTTCCCTGCAGGGGCCCAGCCTGGAAACTGTCCATCCAGCAGGGCCCTGCTGGTGCCCGCCTCACAGCAGCCCCCTGAGCAGACGGCCAGGGGAGCCCAGTGGGTCCCAGGCTCCTCAGATAAGCTCAGACGTCCCCTCCCAGGGCCATGAGCCCGCCGGTGGGAGGCAGGCTGGGAGGTGGCCCCACAGGCCTGGCAGGAGGGCTCCCAGAAGGGGCTTCACTGTGGGTGAGGGGCCCTGCGCTTGCCCAGAGGCCTGGGCAGCCTGGTCTCAGCCAGGTGGCTGGTGACCCGTGGCTCTCCTACAGCTCCTCCAAGGGGATCAGCATCCGTTTTTCCACGTTCCGACTCTTCCTGACCCCACCGGGGCCTCCTGCCACACTGGGGTGGGGGCCGGGGCTCGGGGCCTCGTGTGTGGCCTGCTGGGCGTACTGCTGGTAGGCCGGTGAGAAGTTGTGGACCGCGTCCTGCACGATGTCCTGTGGGCTTATGGTCTCCTTGAGGCCACTGGAGATGCTGTGCATGGGTGCCTCGGGGGCTGGGGGCAAGCGGCACCTGTGGGGGTCGGGGTGCCCCAGACCCGCCATTTCCCCTGCAGGCCCCAGCCCCGGAGGCCTGGCCCTGCTCCCCGCCGGCCTCCAGGCTGCCCAGGCCCTGGGCTCGGCCGGCAGGGGGGACTTCAGGACCTCTGAATCCCGGCCCGGCTCCTCCACCCTGGGCCTGTTCCAGCCCAGACCCCCAGGGGCCACAGAGACTGCCTTGGCCGGCTCCTGCCTTCTCTCCGGCCTGGAGTGAGCCCTTCACACTCGTGGTTACGCCAGGCTGCCGGAGGAGGCGCAGGCCGTCCCTGCCTGAATGGGTCATTCCCTAGGGATGCCCAGGCCCCCGGGTGTGGTGGGCAGGGCACCCCAGGCTTGCGAGGCACCAAGCCCCCCATCCCAGCAGGGGCCGTGGGGGCCCAGACGTCCAGTCCAGCCCATCTCACTCAGAACTCAGGGCCTGGGCCAGATGCAGATGTGGCACTTGTCTAGGGCGGGGGTCCTCCCAAGGGGCTGTCTCTCTGTCTGTGGGGTTGAGATCCCCTGGGCCCATGTATGGGATGGGGGCCAGAGATGTGGTGCTGAGGGTGCCCAGAGGATGCAGGGCTGGCTGCGCCCCTCCCCAGGCCCACCCTCCACATGCCCCTCCCCCACGCCCGCAGGGCCCGGCGGGCATACCTGGTGAGTTCTTCTTCTCTGCATACACCTGGCAGGTGAAAGCATAGCGCAGGGCAATGGAGGCAAACAGCATCTCGATGCAGATGATGAAGTTCTGGTAGCCAGCGGCCACCGTGCCGGCCCCCACCTTGCTCCCATCGATGACCTGGACCTCAGGGATGACCCCACACTTCTCCAGGATGGCCAGCAGCATCCCTGGGGGATGGTGACAGCCACTCAGGCACCCGCCCTGCACAGGCCTCGGGAGCTGGGTGGGATCTGTAGGGGAGGACAAGGTTCCGGCCCTGCAGAGGCTCCTCTGGCCAGCCCTGGGACGCCCATCCGTGTGGTCCATTCCATGGAGGGGGAGGCTGATGTTCAGGGGTGTGGGTGCCTCCAAAGCCAGGGTCGTGGCACAGTGGGTATCTGGGAGCTCCCCACGTGTCTGCCCTGACCTCCCTGATCCCAGAGCTGGGGCCCGCCCCTAGCCCCACCCCGCACTGTCTGGTGGCACCCTCCCCTGCACGGTGGGGCCTGGGAGCGCCCCCAGCCTGGCCCCGGGCCTCTGCCTGACCTCTCCACCCACACGGGCCAGACCCCCTGGATGGGGCCTCGCCATTTCCCCCCACGCCAGGGGCTGTATTGCTTCCGGCTGAGGGGGGCGGTGGTTCTGACCTGTGCTCTGGCCAGGGAAGCTGGGGCCAGGCCTGAGGGCACGTGGGGAACTGGGGGCGGAGGTGGGATGGGGACAGCCTCTAGGCTCTAGCTGCTGCCCCCACAGCCCACCCACCCTGCCAGAAAGAGAGGAAGATGACGGCCTTGATGGTGAAGAACTTGAGGACGGGCTCGAAGGGCTGCAGGAGCTCCCTGGTGGCGAAGTAGAAGAGGAACAGGGCGTAGAGGGCCAGGCTGACGGAGATGTTGTAGATGAGGGTGATGTAGAGGTAGCTGCTGTGGATGCTGGGGCCAGAGCAGGTGCCGGGGGTCAGGGTGGGCCCCGTGCCCCATGTCCTCCTCCCTGCTGTCCCAGCCTGGGCACCAGCAGTGACCCAGACCTAGACCCTCCCTGCAGGGTGGGTGGGCGGTACCCGAGCGCAACAACCAGGGAGCTGGGGGTGCCGGCGTGGGGCCCCTTGTGGGGAGTCCCGACACAGCAGTAAGGATGTAGCCCTTCTCCCTACGAAGCCCCCCCACCAGCCCTCTTCCCCCGTCCACCTGGGCGCGGCCCGTTCCTTCGGGCCTGGACTCGACATTGTGGACACATGGGCGGGTGTGTGCCAGTCTGTGAGCGTGTACGTGATGTGTGTGCACCCTGTGGGTGTGTTCACACGCACGTGTCAGCACTGTGTGCACATGAGCACGTGAGCGGGTGTGTGTGTACACGTGAAAGCACTCGTGTCTGCTTGTGTGCACGGGCTCGTGTGAGTGCATGTGTGCATGTGTGTGTGTGTGTGCATGGGCTCGTGTGAGTGTGCATGTGTGTGTGCTTGTAATCACGGACTCGTGTGAGTGCATACATGTGAGCATGTGTGTGGGTGTTTGTGTGCTTGTGTGCATGGGCTCGTGTGAGTGCATGTATGTGAGGTGTGTGTTTGTGTGTGTGTTCATGTGGACTGTTTGTGTAAGCGCGCGCGTGTATGTGTGTGGACCTGGTGCAGGGCTCCTTCCGGGGTGTGGGGGAGGCACTGCCCGACGGCTCCCTGGGCCTGAGTGCCTGAAATCCCCCCTCACTCTCCTTGGGGTGGGCGGGCTGCAGGGTGGGGGCTAGGGGAGGGAGCCCATGGCCGCCGAGGCTACACAGCCCCGGCACCCCGCAAACAGGGACCCGCTCCTCTGGGTCTGTTTGCCGCGGCCTCGCCCTGGCAGTCTCCCGAGAGCGGGGGAGGCCCGTCCGGCACACGTGAGGACTTGGCCCTGTGCTGAGCGCCCCCCAGCCTGGGGCCCGCACCCCCCGCCCCCTGGCAGGCCGGCCCACCCCCTCCCAGCCCGCACGGCAGCCAGGCCTTACTTGAAGTCCCCGTCGTGGTATTTGCCGAACGCCTGCAGGACGATGGTGACCAAGGCCATGATGGGCTTCACGATGCAGAACTGCAGTGTGGCCTGGGGGGGAGGGAGGCATGGGGTGGTCCGGCGGGGGGGTGGCTGGGAGAGGCAGGGCAGGGCAGGCAAGCCCCCCACTCACCTGCTTGCAGAAGCGCAGGAAGCCGATGGAGTAAGACATGCCCTGCAGGCAGCAGGTGCCGTAGAGGCAGCTGGACCTGGGGTGTGCAAGTCCGTGAGGCAGGGCCCCCGGGAGGACCTGTCCCCAGCCCGGCCCTGCTGCCCGGGGCGCGGAGGGGCCCCCGTGGGCTCTGGGGCGAGACGCTTACCGGATGGGCTTTCCCCTAATCTCAGCCATGATGGCGCTCTCGCCCCCCAGGTACTGGAAACACAGGCTCAGGAAGCTGTAGATGACAAAGGCTGCAGAGCAGAGGGCCGGGGCGGGCGGCAGTGAGCCTGGGCTCCCCGGGGCCCCCCACTCCCCTGCCCTCGGCTTCGGGACCATCCGCCGTCCCTGCTGACCCCCGGTCGTCAGCAGTCCCTGTGGCAGAGGCCCCACCCTGTCAGGGCCCAGGCAGGCCCAGCTACAGGGCTCCCCCGCTCGGCGTCCCCGATCCCGACCATCAAGCGGCCCCTTCCCACAGGGCCTCCCGAGCTGGACTTGGCCCGGGAGGGTGGGGTTGCCGAGCTGGCCGTGGCCTCTCCGGGGCTCTCCCCAGATCTCGCCAAAGCCTGGATCCGGGCGGCGCTCACCTTCGTAGCAGTCACGCACCGAGTCGAAGTAGACATAGTGCTGGTGGCCCCCCAGGAGGAGGAGGCTGAGCCAGGAGTCGAAGGCGTAGATGGGCACGATGAAGAGCAGACGGATGATGTAGCGCTGCTCGTTGGGGACCGTGTAGGAGCGCAGGTGCAGGTAGATCTGGGCGGGCAGAGCAAGGGCAGGCTTGCAGGGGACGATGGGCACACGCCCCCGCTGTGCGGAGCAGGGGGCAGCGTCGGAAGCAGCGCGAGCTTCCCAGGCGTGGCTGGCCCCTTCTTCCGCATACTCTGCCGCGGCAATGCTCGCTCGCTCGCGCACTTACTCGTGTGTTCATTCATTTGGGGAGAATTTCCCCGGGGGGGGGGCGTCCGTGGCCCCGGAGTTTCGCATCTCAACGTGGGCAGGCATCCAAAGGGCTGATCCCCTGGAGCCCTTTCCGGGATGTGCCCCATGGAGCAGGTTACATCCGGAAAGAAAAGGTCTGTGTACGAGGATGCGACACAGGGGACCACGCGGTGGGGCGGGCGGGTGTTGGCAGAGCAGCCCCACCAAGGGGTCTCAGCCAGCCAGTAAAAGTGGCGTCCCAAGATGCCCACGTGGGGACCTGCTCTGAGATAACGGGGCGTGTAGGCATCAGATGACAAAGCAGGTGCAACCCCATGCGTGTTGGAAACATGTAGTGAACACAGAAGGAAAGATGGCTCTGTCCTGTCCCTGGACGGTAGGAAAATACGGCTGATTATAGTTTGTAGACCTTTCTTGATTTTCCATGACTTCTGTGGGGAGGGGAAAAGTAGTGAGAGGGTCTTGAAGAGGTGGAGGCTCAGGGGAGCGGGGCACACAGCACCTCTGGAAGGCTTCCTGGAGGAGGTGCCGCTGAGCGCAGGTGGAGAGAGGGCCGTGGGAGGGCAGGCTGTGTGTGGAGCCCCACGGGCACCCAGCTTCAGAGGGCACAACGCAGGGAGTGGCGGGGGCGGGTTGGCGTCCGGAACAGTCCTTATCAGTCCCTCACTCCCCGGCTGGTGCAGTGGGCGGGGCCCGGCATGCCCAGCCATTAGGAGACGTGGATTCTGTCCCGGGGCTCGCACTGCCTGGCTGGGTGGCCTTGGCGCCCTCCGTCCTCGCCCGCCTCACCTTCCCGTCTTGAAAGCCAGAGGCTGAGTCCCTCTCTGTCCTTGCGGTCTACCCTCCTGTCACGGCGGGCCTGGCCGTGGGGGCGGGGGTGGGAGCTGCAGCCCTGGGGTCCCTGTCTGCCCCATGCAAGGGTGGGGCCCCAGGAGTCACAGACAGACACACAGACACATGCGCGGTCCCCACAGTGCGGGGGTTAGGCTCACACAGAGCGGGAGTCCGGGACGCCCACCCAGGACTCTGGGGCCTGGCCCCGTAAATCACAGGCTACCCCAGACCTAACCCGGTCCACTGCCAGGGAGTAGGCGGGTCCACCACACAAGTGCGCTCGCACCACCCACCAGTTCAGTCTTCCTGTCCAGGGGCCTGGGAGCAGCTTGGTAAGACTCAGGGCCAATCCCGCCTCCTCTGGGCAGCCCTCCCGGGTGGCCCCTGCTCCTCTCGGCTGTACTGTGCCCCCCCCTGCCCCCCAGCCCCTCTCATGCACTTGGGTCTACTTCTGTTGTGGTTGTTTGAGGCCGAACAGCAGGTGGCTCTCACTGTGATGGGAGTCTGCTCACCTTCCCTGCCCACCAGCCTGCTGACGGCCCCTGCCCCGGGCCCACGTCCCCACTCATTCCCTCCCCATCCTGCAGGCCGGCTCCGCTCTCGGCCCCCCCGACAGCCTGCCCTGGCTCCCCACACCCCCCAGGTTGAAGGCCAAGCTGCCGCACTGACGTTCAAGGTCCCTCTCTTTTGTCCCGAGTGCACCTTGTCCAGACAGCCCCGTGCCTGGCCTGCACCTCACGCTCGCCCCACATGGCCAGCGTGTCCTCCTGGGCCCCCGGCCCACACCCTGGTTCCTCCCTCGCTGCTGGGCCTGGCCATCCCCCCTTGGAGGGGCTGCCCCGTCTGCCCAGTGGTCACCGCGTGGGGCTGGGGGCTTGTGGGGCTCTCCTCTACTCCCCTGAATCTGGTGTGCTCCCAGCCAAGCTCCATCCCTGGCAGAGACCTCCCACCTTCAGGCCTGGCTCCCACATGCGGCTTTCTGGAGAAAGCCCCCTCCCCTGCCCCTGTGCCCTGGCCTGATGAAGCGTCTGAGAGCCCTCCACGCAGCCGGGTCTCTGGTGGCTGCCGCCAGCCCACGGCTTGAGTCCCAGATCGCAGCAGGGCCAGCCAGGGCCATGTGCCGTGGAGAGTGGGGTCCCAAGAGAGGTGCAGAAGGGAGGGCCTACCTGGTGGCAGGTGAGCACCAGGGCAGTCCACACAAAGACCCCCGAGACGCCGCGGGCCAATGCGGTGGTGAGGAAGAGCCGGGAGGTGCCCTGGGAGCTGTTCCCCACGGGGTCCGTCTGCGGCCCGGCGGGCACGGAGGACGCGGAGGACGCAGAGGGCACGGTGGGCATGGCGGGTGGGGGGCCAGGCTGTGGCCAGGTTGCTGACACCAGGGGGCCGCGGGCTGTTCCCAGGAGCCCTGAGGCATTAGTCATCTGCAGAGGTGAGGGAGGACACAGGGAGGAGTGAGGGCAAAGGTGCACCAGGCAGCGCAGGCAGCCCCAGGGCCAGCCAGCGAGGGGAGGGGAGGGGAGGGGCGGGGGCGGGGAGGGAGGGGCTCCTCCAGGCCACCAGCAGGCCGGGGCGCATGGGCTTCCGTCCCCGTCCCTTCTGTGTGGTTCGAGTCTGACCGTCTTGCCCACTCCCCTGACTCGGGGACAGTCCTGCTCCGAGCAGGAGCTCAGCTCCAAGGCCGGGGCCTGGGGCGCCCTCCTTCCCCAGGGCTCAGCCACCTGGGCAGAGACTCAGGCTCGTGGGAGCCCACGTTTGAGGGGCCAGAGATGTGTGGGAAAGTGAGGGAGCCCCCGCTGCCCTGCCTGCCCGGGGTGGAGTCAGAGAGAAGGCCAGCCAGGCCCTGCCTGCAGCGGCTGATAGGGGTGCAGCCCAGCACCCACCGGCTCCCTGGGACCTGCCCAACTGTCCACGGGCCCGACTGTGCGGCAGGGCCCTTCACCCGCCCAGGCCCGCTCAGTAGCCCCGGAGGCTGGTTCTTCCGCTGCTGGCCAGCCAGCTGGGGCACCCGGGTCTCTCCCCTGGCCTCTAGCCCACGGTAGGTAGGGACCCAGCGCCTACCTCTCAGGCAGGAAGCTCCAGCCCAGCCCTGCGAGGCCCGGCCCCCAGGGAAGCCTGGCTGGTCATTTGCGTGGCCACGTGGCCCCAGGGGCAGCCCCACTGGGGGTGGGGCCGGGCCCCTATCTGGAGGCTGCACCAGGCCTGGGGTGGGGGGCACTGCCTCAGCTCCCAGGTGGTCCACCTGAGCCGCTGCCTGCGGCAGGGGGGGG